GATTGACCATAGCAGCGTGTCTCACCCCAACAGATCCCGTCCTCGCAGCTTCAGTCCTGTCAAACAGTCAGTTCAGCACCCGAGTACCCAAGCGAATCAGGGATTACCTAAGCGCAGAGAGTGGATGCAACGACGGCATGTCCTTCCCATTCTTGTACTTGGGTCTCAGTCTTTTGCTGAAGAATACTGTTGGTGGGGTACTGAAGAAGTGGTTCCTCATCACAGTACTGTACCAGTGTGTCGGAGGTGTTCTGTTGGGTATCGCACTAGGCTACCTCTTCAACGCGATATTCAAGTTCTCGCACAGCCGTGAGTGGATGGGCAGAGCCTCATACCTCGCCTTCTATCTTCTCTTGGCCATCTTCTCCATCGGATTGGCATCACTTCTTGGCGTTGATGACTTCCTCGTGGCCTTCTTCGCAGGACGTGGCTTCGCGCACAACCAAAATGCTCCAACGGAGGAGACTAACCTACCCGTTGTCATCGACTTGTTGATCAATTCGGCTTTCTTCATCTTCTTTGGCGCAATGATCCCATGGCAGAGTTTCAGCGGCGTGGATGAAATCACACCTCTCCGACTGTTGCTCCTACTCGCACTCATTCTGCTCTTCCGCAGGATTCCGATTGTTTTCACTCTGTTCAAGATGAAATGCCTTCCATCTGTAAAAACCACCACTGAAGCCCTCTTCGTCGGACATTTCGGACCAATGGGCGTCGGCGCCCTCTTCCTTGCCATTGAAGCTCGCGCACAACTGGAAACCGGTACTTCGTTGCCTCTTCCTGATCCACCAAACGATCTCCCAGCAGATAAACAACGAACGGTTACCATGATCTGGCCAATTGTTTGCTTTGTTGTGCTTGGAAGTACAATGATACATGGTTTCAGTACTCTGGCTGTCAGTATTGGAGGCCATTTTGCAAGGAAAGAGGGTGAGCGGGCTCCACTGATTGGGGCTGAGAGGGAAGGACTGCATGGCATGATCCATAGCGACAGTGAGGCTAGCGATAACGAGCAGGAGTAGTGCATAGATCATGGGTTTGGAGGCTATGTGTCAGCTGTAGCTTTTAGTTTGGTTGATAATCAACCTTGGTTTGCAGTACGGATCTATATATTCAGTTATAGTTCGTCTCCATCATATGTTGCTATTGCTACTAGCGTACAGAAGGATGGGAAAATCTAAACTTTTCGCTTTACCTCTTTTCCCCTGACCAAGTCTATACACATATACTGATACGACATGTAGCATGTGCCTCTTAGCTGGACGGGGCGGCGTGTCTTCGGATGAGAGGAAAGAACCCATGTTGGTGATTTCTCAGTCTTTAGGCAAGACTAGCTATGCGTTGTTTCGGTGTTACGGCGTGGGTTTGCGGGAACGGTTTGTATGGCGCTGTGATCAAATCGGATAGGGATGGGTAGAATATGTATACTTGACTGTCGCAGGGCTGGGTGCGTGTTCCATGTACATGCGTAGAAAATTCGGAAGAGAGTGTACATGATTGTTTGTAGCATCCTAGCTCATCTTAGATGAAGACTATCTTAACACCACAACACCCATCGCTGATGCATACCAAAAAAAAAACACAATTTGATACCATCCCACCATGTACGCCTGTTACAAATTCCCAATAACAACCATGAACCTCAATTTGCCGTCCGTCTTCTTGCTCGCAGCCGGGTTAGTTCCAGCCAGGGTATCATCACCTCCACCACTAATCGTAATCTCATCCAGCATCAAAGTGCTGCTCTTCCATCCCCAGCTCTGACTGAAGTTGAAGCGGTCAGGCGCGCTTTCATAGATGCTTAACATCCTTCCGCCCTTGGAGGGACTGTAGATTTTGAAATAGGTTTTTATGGTTGGTCGGCCGTCGACATAGGGTGGGAGTGCGGGGACGATGGCGCGTGTTTTGCGCTGGACTTTGGAGGCAAGGGAGGGGTTGATGTATGCGGCTGCGTCAGACTCGTCGTCAGTAGAGGGGGTATCAGATTCGTGGTCGGAAGGCGTGTATGAAAGGTTGGGGAAAGAGGGTGAGTCTACTGCATCGCCGTCTTGAGGTGGGGAGGAGGCTAGATTGTGGAAGCCCCATTGGGGGATGCCGCGGGTCGGTAGCCTACTGCGATGGCGACCGAGACCGTTACTGGAGAAGAGTGGATTGCGCAGTCCTAGAGAGCCGAGAGAAGGGTCAGCGTCTCCGCCACTACCGGAGGTGTCTTCTTCTGCGCCAGGATCCATGAACGGGACTCGAGTGCTACGCCGGCGATCACGTCGATCGCTACGCATGAGCATTTCGCGCTCTAGCTGACCAATGCGCTCGTCGACGGATCCATTGTTCTGCTGACTGAGACTACTGATGTGTCCAGTCTCGTCTACCTCTCGCTCTTTGGCACGGTGAAGGTATACGCCCAACTGGATGTTCTTTGCGGAGCGGACTTTCTGGATGTAGATGTTCCACAACGAGCCTGCATATGATACTGTCCTCGAATATACCCGTTTTTTCTCTTTAAGGAAGCGCGGGTTGGGGAACTCGGCCGAAAAGCGGAATGGAGGGAATTCGGTGTAGGCGATTGGCTTCGGCTGTCCAGCGTTACCACCGCCAGCTGATATCGGACGTTGCGCGAAGTCCATGCGGGTGTTTGGGTTGGTCAAGGTCGACGGGGTAGATGCGAAGTCAGTAGCCCATTGTGCGTCCTCTGGTTGGATCGTGGCTGAGAGACGCGAAGCATGGCGTTGAAAAGAGTTTGAGGTCGTAACGACAGGATCAGCCCCGTTGCCTAGGACGATGTTGCAGTCTGAGCTTGGGATCCAGAATTTCCGTGGTTTGCCATTACCGTCCCAGCTATCTGATTCGATATCGCCTTCATCAACAGGGATCGTAGTTTCTTTTTGTTTTCCTTTGCTAGTCGGCTCGCTTCCGGACTTAGTTGCCACATTCGCTACTTCGGGGTCAGGCGTTGATTGGCATAGACCGAGTTCCTGAGCAGACTCATCCGTGTTGAGCACTCTCTGGCGGAGAGCCAGCTGCTGCCACAGTGCGTTAGAGATGACCCTTTCAGGCATCACTGGTAGGCCAAAGACGTCACGGGCATTCCTGATGAACTCAAGCTGCTCGTATTCCATGTGAATGTAGTGTATGCCTTCGTCTAGCAACACGAGTATGCGCTCAATGTCGGGCAGGGTGTAAAGAGCAAGCCAGTCTGCCTGCGCATCAGAAGAGGAGTGCGCTGTCGTCAAGGCATTCTGTCGATAAACTCCGTCAAAGCGAACGGCCATGAGACGGAGAGAGTTGGGCGCCTGTGGTATAGGCTTCTGTCCTCGCTGTATGAGACCAGCCTCGATGGCGGCTTGTCGTAGGCGGCGGTCAAGAAGACGCTTGGAGAGCACCCATCGGTCCCACTCGCTGTCGACAAAGAAGCCGTCCGATCCTACGAGCTCGCGGATGATGTCGCCTGGCATGTCGTCCCAGTATTTGAGTGGCATTTCCCAGCCATTCCTACTTAACATTGCTTTGGCTGATTCAAGTATGCGGTCTCCAGATCGGCCGTAGTAGTTGGAGGTGACTAAACGAATGAGGTATGCAAGCGTCTCTGGTGCCATCTGCCGCAGTATGGATTCGATTGCAGAGTCGATGAGATCCTGCATCTCCAGCCAACAGCCAGTTGCGAACAGACCGATAGCCTCGGCATCCGACTCTTTTGATATATCCACGCCATAGAGCTTTCTTATGGCCAGCTCAAACGATGCCTGCGTTATGCTAGGATCGATCTCCTCTGGATGTAGCTTGACTTCCTTGGACTGACTTTCGAGCCATGGTTCTGAAAGAGCGGTCGTGAAAAATGGTGCGCGGTCAAGAATGAGACGATGCAGGGGGTATCGGTTACCGAAGGCGATGATTGTGATGTCCGAGTGTCGTCCTTCGACTAATCCGCGGGTGTAGAGGTGATCTGGGAGCGGTATGGCTTCGCCTGAGGCTGACAATGTTAGCGGGTGCACAATCCGATGTCGTAGGGGTTCTCACCACGGAGATACAGCGGACCTGTCGCATTGCTGTAGGAAGGCGCTCTGGTTCCTGGCATAGCCGCACTCTCGCTGAACAACCTGCTGATGTCGGTGCGAACAGAATGCTCGGCACGCATAAGATCCAGGGTAGTGCGCCTTTTGCCCTGCTCTTCGAGAGGTGTGTTTGGGTCGTCAGCGCTCTTTTGGGCTTGATCAATCTGTGTCTGTAGCTGGACTATGGGTGGTCGGTCAGGCGAGACGTGATTCCTAGAGGCGCGCGATGTCATGCTGGAGTAGCCTGCCAGTGATGGCATAGAGCGCGAGTAGCTGAGAGACCTAGAGTGGCTCACGTGGTTCCTGGGGCTGCTAGGGAGGTCGGATGGTGCAGAGGGTGGTATGGCGGGTACATTCGGTGAGAAAAGGCTGACGTATGGAGTGCTACTTGAGCCTGCGCCGCCCTCTGTACTCTCTGCTTCAACCAGCGGCCATGTTTCATTGCGATTTAATCCACCAAGTTCCGGCTGGGCGTCATGGTCGAGGCTGGCGCTCCCGTGACCTGTGGGTGGCTGATGGGCGGGGTCCATGCTATGCTATACACTGCTCTTGAAGTACATGGGTCGTGGTGTTTGACAGCGACGGAGTATGCGAACAGAGCGGGTGGGGTAACGCAGTGCACGCCGGGTCTAATAACACGGGGCGGTCACGCACGCGAAACAGAGACGGTGAAAGGACTAGGAGAATAGGAAGATAACGTTAGCAAAATGCGGTGGAGGCTGGGCGCATCACGCTGCCAGCGCGGAAAACGCCAAATGGCGATCATCACTCTGAGGGGTCCGGTGATGCAGTTGCGAACCTGCGGAGTGGGTCGTCGCTTCCGCCTGTCAACGGCGGTGGATATGCAGGGTTCTTTCTTGGCGCGCCGCCGGGCCATCGAACCACCGAAGACTCAAAGTCGATGACATGATGACTGACTAACCTCCTTCTTCCTCTCTACGTGCCGCTGTCATGGCTTCAATATACAAGGCATTTCCGCAGCTGCGGACTGCTGCTCCACGCCTCTCACGACGACTCTTCGTATCTACGCCATGCCTCAATTCGCCGATTCGATCCGCAGTCTCCGCTTCACGATCTTCATCGAGATCTTCCACCCTGCAATCGGTGAGGTGGAAATCGACCCAGCCTCTCCGCAATACCGCGACCATTGAGGGATCGAATGCGGGGAGGGCGATACTGGAGGAAGCTGCGACCAAGACTGAAAGCCAGTCGAGCAGCTTCCCCAAGACAACTTCCAAGAGCGTTGCATACTGGCTGCTGGGGAGTGCTGCGAGCGTTTTCGGCATAGTCGTTTTCGGTGGCCTGACTCGTCTCACAGAGTCTGGGTAGGCACAACGTCACTGCATCCGTCACACCTGCTAAAGTTGGACAGGCTGAGTATCACCGAATGGCGTCCCGTCACCGGCTCCCTCTGGCCTATGAGCCAGGCCGAATGGGACAGCGAGTTCACAAAATACAAGGCGTCACCCGAGTTTCAACAGCTCAACTCGAGCATGGACATGGCCGACTTCAAGCAGATTTACTTTATGGAATGGGCTCATCGTCTATGGGGTCGTGTCATCGGCATCACAATGCTCGTACCAACCGCCTATTTCATCGCACGTCGTAGAGTAGCGCCTTCAATGGCCTGGAAGCTTATCGGAATTTGCGGTATGATCGGTGGCCAGGGTGCCATCGGCTGGTGGATGGTCAAAAGTGGACTCAAGGACGACCTCTTCGAACCTGGAAGCCATCCCCGTGTCAGCCAGTATCGCCTGACTGCCCATCTGGGTGCTGCCTTCACTGTCTACTGCTCAATGGTCTACACTGGTCTTTCGATTCTCAAGGAGCATCGCATGCTAGCAGACCCGGCCAAGGCTGCTGAGACTATCAAGGCTCTGCAACATCCTGCTCTCCGCATCTTCAGACGCTCCGTCTTCGGTCTTACCGCTCTTGTCTTCACTACTGCTATGTCAGGTGCCCTGGTTGCTGGTCTCGATGCTGGTTTGATCTACAACGAGTTCCCATGGATGGGTCTTGGTCTCGCTCCACCCAAGAAGGAACTTTTCGATCCCTTTTACAGCCACGTCCCAGATCAATCGGATCTTTGGTGGCGCAACATGCTCGAGAACCCTTCTCTCGTCCAGCTTGACCACCGCATCCTCGCAACGACTACATTCACTGCCATCATGAGTCTCTTTGCATACACTCGCTTTGGAAAGGGCGTGCGAAGTAAGCTTTCCAAGGACCAGCACAAGGGTGTCCAAGGAATGGTTCACCTCGTTGTCCTTCAGGTTACTCTCGGCATCAGCACATTGATCTACATGGTCCCTACCTGGCTAGCGTCCGCACATCAAGCCGGCGCTCTCGCTCTGTTGACTGGTGCGGTTGTTTTGTGCAACAGGATAACTGCGCCACGTCGCGCTATCCTTCGCCAGATCATGAAGCCACAGGCTCCCAGAACGCACGCTACCCCTCACATTAGTTCGCGACTCGAAGCCGCCAAGGCTGCTGAGCAATCATCGTAGTCTCTACATTCGCTCCATCGCTCCATATTAGAGCGTGTATCATAGACGGTGTACAGAAAACATCACCACCCTGTACGATATGTAGGTTTGAAGAAGACATAGATTCACGTACCTCTACCTTAGTGTCTACGTCTATGCTTTCCTTTGTGTAGCGCAAGTAGTCTTATCCTATCTATGCAGAAGATGCGTTCCGTCGCCAGAAACCAGGCGCCCTATTGAAATCATCCTCCCAACGCATGAGCGGCGGCCTCACATACAATTCCGGCCAGAAATCATCCTCTTGCAACTGATCCTGAACATTAACGTAGTCACTGGTGTCGACGTACATCCAACCGACGTCTTCATGGTCACTATTTGTTTCTCCGCCCTCCCAGTCAAACTTCTCGTCTTCATCGTCTTCGGCTCCTTCTCTATCGGGCGCCCAGTTTCTCTTGACGAGCTTGAACACGGGCTCGTCCATCATCTCAATGGATTCGAGGCAGATGTCGTCGACAAGAAGAAAGAAATTGTAGCGAGATCCAGCATGGTGCAGATAATCGGTACTGCCGGCTGCGCCAGTTATTTCGTCCTTGGCCGCAGGCTCGCGGTCGGCACGCCAGTTACGTTGTAGCTCATCTACAGCCCAGCTATTGAAATGCTCGCGGATCTTCTCGGGACCTGCTCCTTCGAATTTGGACTGATCATCCATAACGACCAACTCATGTCTTGCGAGAAGGCCTGGTTGAGCCTGATATACTGCTAGTGATGACTCGATATCTCGGCGGAGCACAGAAAGTATACGATGCCAAGCCGCATCGTCGTTGTATGAGGCACGGTACACGGCCAGACCCCAAGGCGCGTCTGGTTTGAGGATATCAAATAAGTCGTTCAACACCCTCAGGGGGTCGGCCATTTCTGTCAGGACCTCTGCTCTATAAGCCTGGAACAATTCCTTGCTAACGGGATACGCCCTGGCAGCCGCCTCGTGAGCAGCATTGACCTTGTCGGGATCGAACTCTGACTCTGTGACAACGGCCATAGCCTTGTCAAGATGATCCATGTGAGCCCGAACACGGGCTCTCTCCGCGCCGGTAAGTGGTCGTGCCATGGCAGGGGCTGTTCGGGTGGACCGGGCACGGTGGTGGTGAAGTGGAAGGCTGAAGAACGAACGACTGGAGCATCGGAAAAGACCTTTGCTCACTGTGATTGCATGACTACTGAACACCTCTGCGGACTCTGGATTGCTGTCACAGATGTACTAAAAAGCGATCACATCTGGCCCGGCTCGCATTCCTTTGGGTCCATGAGCAAAAAACAAGGTCAAAAACATACAACAGCGGGGATTCGCTAGTGGTCACCCACCTAACTACTAATCCGCCGGTACACTGCTTGTATATGGCTGAGCGGACGGGAAGCCTAATTTTCAGTGTCCTATGGTCGTATGTGCAAGAAAGTTAATGCAACAGCAATATATACTCAAGAGCAAGCTCGATCTCTATGCCCGGTATTCCTTTTCAGTTGACATCTTGAGGTTCATGGCAACCAGAATTCTCTGATTGAGCATCATGTTTGCAGTCAATATTGTACGGCCTCAGGTTGAAGATGATAAGAGGCGGGTTCAAGGCATGGAGCCGTTGGCGACTGCGCAGCTACATGACGCGATGCAAGATTAGTACCACGCTGGCAGCCTTCCCGATAGGCGAATTGGTTCGCACTCTCGCATCTAGATTCCTGGAAAGATCCATTGTGGCGATGCAGAATGACAGATTAGCGATCTCGTAGTGCCAGACCTACGATTTGACCCACCGTTTAAATACCAGAGAACACCAGAGAACGCTGGGCCTTTCGCTCGGAACACCTGCTCTGTGGTTTCACGATACGATTTGGAGAGTCAGGGTTCGTCTCGAGCATGACGCATGACACTAGCACCATCTAGATCGCGGCTCAGGATCAGCCGGCGCGGGAGATCGGTCCACTAGTTTTTCGCTACCATCGCAATGGCGTCGTTGTATGGGTGCAAAATGCCTGAGATTAGCTCTCCTTTCCAGCAATCTTTTCTAGTTGGCTCCTGGGCGATTTGGATTAACGGCTGCTTGTACCCTGCACTCCGACTTCCAGGTTTATGGGTACGGTCAAGATCGGCGTAAATGTATATAGTAACAATACTGTCCTCAAGATGTGGTCTTGCACCCTGTCTGCATCCTTGCCATTCACAGTCGACTCGAACCTGCAATGGCGACGCCTACGAGTGATGTCGATCCATCCGCGAGGCTGATCACACCGGATGGGCTACCACTTGCTATCATCGCCATCTCATCCATCTTCTTCATGCTTTCTGTCGTTACTGTGGCGTTGCGTACCTTCATTCGAATCAAGAAGCGCATATTTGGCCTGGAAGACACGTTCATGGTTATTGGCACGGTATGTTTATCGCTAAGGGTCTGTAGCTTGGGCTATGCTGACATGACCTCACAGATCGCATACATTCCTGTTACAGGTCTTGCAATTTACGGATGTCTGGTCGGCCTAGGCAGAATGAACGAGGATCTGAATGCATGGCAGCAGTCCGAAGCTATCAAGTATTACCTGATCTGGATCTTGGTATACGTTGTTGCACTTGCAACCGTCAAATCTTCAGTGTGCATCACGATCAGGCGGATTGCTTCGATCAAAAAGCCCATGAGGATCACTGTCTGGGTTCTACTGGCCGTAACATGGGCATCTTTTCTCGTCACCTTTGTCGGAACATTGGCTTACTGCCAGCCAGTGCGGTCTCTATGTGAGTTGGGCAGATTTGCAGACTGCAGGTCGGACAAGACTAATCGATACCTACAGGGACTCCGACGCTGATCATGAGCGGCGAAGGAAGGTGCGCTTCTGCGGAGACCTTTCTCATCATTGCGCACACTGCGACAGTGTCGACAATCTTGACCGACATGGCCCTGGTCATCGTGCCGGCTATCATCTTATGGAATACACAGATGAAAAGACAAGCCAAGATCCAAGCATTCGGCCTACTGTCCTTCGCCTCACTGGCGTCAATCATTACTATGATACGAATTCCATTTGTCAACAAATTTGAGTCTCAGACCAATCTTCCATGTAAGCATGTAGTCTCTCTAAATCCAAGAAACGCAAACTGACCCGCACACAGTTTGGGTTGCCCATATCGTCCTTTGCTCCAACGTCGAGACCGGAATCGGGTGCTTTGCATCCTCCCTACCGGCACTACGCCATTTCTTCAACAACGATCGCGACGGCAGCACAGATCCGAACAGTAAGCGATACATAGCAACAACCACTGCAGGCGGCACCTCACGGAAAAGGAGAGGCGACAGCTATCACGCGGACATTGGCTTTAGCTTGTCTACTGTGCATCATGGGCGCGATCAGGATGCCTGGGAACGGATACACGACGGCGCGTCTGATAAGAGCACTGCACCGATGCATGATAAGAGGATCTACGCTGAGAGGACATATACGGTTGATGTCGAGTCAGCTTAACGGAACGTATCATTAGCTCACGGGTGTTCATGTAGACCTAAAGGTCTCGGAAGCATTATAATATAATAATATAAGACAGGGTATCTAAACAATATCGGGAGTGCCTTCATCAGCTCTCAAGGTGACACATGCTCTGCCTTCTCCGTCTTATGTTCAGCTTTGTTGCCACTCGAAGTACTACCAGTCTCCATGATCGCAGCGGGATCGGTACCGATCGCTTGTTCCCAGCCCTCTTTCGCAACACGTCGACTCCGCTTCACCACGTCGCCTTCGTAGAAGAGCCAGTCAACTTCTTCGAGCGTCAGATTAGCAGTTTCGGGATAGCAGAAGTACTGCAGCACGTTAGCGAGTGAAGTTCGGGTGCAAATCCGGGGACCTACGATAAGGGGAATGAACGCGAAGTTGAGTGCCATGAAAATCAGATAGCCCTTCCATGCTAAGCTATTAAGAAGAGTGGGAGTGATCATGACAACGAAGAAGTCTATACATGGATATCAAGATTAGTGTACTTCTCGAACGCAGTCTACGCGGGATACTTACTCCATATCCAATTTGCGGAGATACCGACAGCCGTTCCCTTTGCTCGCACGTGTAATGGTAAAATCTCGGGCACATAGACCCAAGGAATGCAGTTCATCGTCATGCCAAACGCCAGCATGTACTAGTCTTTGTTAGCTCCGTTTCACAGAAACCGATGGGGCGGGGGATCCACTTACCGTGAAAAAGAATGCGACACTAGCAGAGGCGGTACTTTTCAAGACTCTTCCGTCTTCTCCTTTGAAGCTCAAGAGGATTGAAATCATCATCATGGAAAGGCCGAGGCCTAAAGAGCCCCACATCATTGGCTTTCGGCGGCCGGTGCGATCAAGTGTGAAGGTTGGAAGCAGAGAACCGAGGAAGAACATGAGGTTGATGACGCCGCCGAGAAGCAGTGATAGGTTCCTGTCGAGCCCGACGTTCTGCTCTAGCACCGATGTGATGTAGTAAACGACGAGGTTTATACCTGAATGTACGTGTACCGAGTCAGTGTATGTCTCACATGCAGTTCGTGCAGGGGAACTTCTTACCACCCATCTGGTTCATAAACTGCGCGCCGTACGCGAGCAGTACACGGCGTCCAGTCTGCACATGATCTTTCTTGAGTAATTGCGACCACCTGTATTCTCCATGTTCGCGCTCGACCCGCAGTGCCTCGAGCACCTCTCTGTTCTCCTTCTCAATCTTTGGATCATCGGGCGTGCCATCGTAAACATCGCAGAGGATCTGAAGTGCTTCCTCGTGTCGACCATGCGCATAGAGATATCTTGGCGATTCAGGAAGACCAAAAACAAGGATGATGACGATAATGGCAAAAATGACTTGACATGCAATGGGTAGGCGCCACGCGATAGATCCTGCCGTGAATGACATTCCGTAGTCGAACCAGTATGCTATTTCGATCCCTACGCCAACAAAGAGAGGTTCTGACGCGACGAGGCGGCCGCGCTTGTTCGCTTCGCAAAGTTCGGATTGATACATAGGCACAGTCGAAGTTTCGATGCCGGTTCCAATGCCAGTCAGGAACCGAGCTACCATCATATGTGGAACTGAGTACGCGCTGGCTTGAAGAGCGCCGCCGACCTGATACTATCAGCCACAATACTGACACCAGCGACTTGAACATCTTACAATGATCCAGACCATAGCAATCCACATAGCCAGTCTCCGTCCCGTTTTCTCGCAAAAGATGAAGCTAAGAATACATCCTGTGAAGCATCCTAGGTTGTATATGGATACGATGATTCCTTCGAGGCCAGGCGAGGGATGATCGAAAGTATTCAAAAAGTCCTCATTGCCGACGATGCCGCTGAAGACACCTTGGTCGTAACCGAAAAGCACGAACGCTAATTGGCAAGCGATGGTGATGGCGGCACGAAGCTTGAAGCCTCGTCCATACCAGTTGAAATGCGGTGTATGGAACATGATGCTGGTCTCAACTTCCAACCTAACACGCAAGACACGAGCGCAACAAAACAGCAAAAGCGACCAGCGCGCCCGATGGGAGACCCTTTACATTAGTATACCCATGCTCATATGTTATAACGTCCACTAGCGGAACTTGTAATCCGAGAGTGAAGTGATCAAACGTCACGATGCTTGCTCGGCGAATTGGCCGCGAGCCGTATGATTGACGGAGTAATTGCGGGGACCATTCTTAGCTACAAGACGTTGGCGAATGATCAAGATGCAACGGTGAGCAGGAAGCCTTGCCGAGCTATTGGTGGCGGGTGTGAATGTCGCGTCTGGGGATAACATGGGGTGATCTGCAGTGCGGAGGTGGAGAAAGGTGGATGACGTCGGTTTTTCGGTTGAGTGGTTGTACGCTTTTGGTAAGCCGACTGAGGTTACACCAGGGTTTTTGGCCCCAGGCACGCAACCTTTATTTCCCGACGCAACAGGAATTGCCTTTGACGGACGCACAAGCTCGTAACGCGGCTTTCACCTGCACCGCTGTGTAGATAGTAATGTGGACGCACGATAGTGGCGTGAGTTCAGGATGCCGTTACTTCGGATCCACGGGTCATCTCCGACGCGATTCCGCCAAATCTCTACCTTCATCCTTCCCTTCTCTTCTATGTTCAACTATCGGTGTTTGGTGAACAAACGATTGAGAAAATGAAAGACAGTGAAAGTCTTTCTGTGAGAGTCACAGTTCTAGCTATGGAGGATAAAGACTCTTCTGGCCGCTCCTGCGAGCTACCCAACCACGCTGTATCAACTCATCTCAAATCTAAACAGTCAACTTAGACCAACACGACACAGATACGCCAGCTGTAATGAGTCTGATGCGCACTTCGACTGCGACGCGTACCTCAAGTGAAGTCCCGCTACAGCGTCTTGATGGGGATGATGAAGTTGAAGGCAGAGAGTTGGTTCTGCGCGGCGGAAAGCTATCGCCTCGCTCATCACCAGCGTTCGATCCATCAGAAAGACGACAGCGTCAGCCTATTCATCCTATACCTGTATCCTCTGCGCGTGTAGATCAGAAGGACGGTCCTCAACGTGTGATAGGTGGTAACGCCAACGTCCAGAATTCCACAAACGCAAAGGCTGGTTCTCAGACACTCGAAAATCCCTCCGCCACCAACTTTCTTACGAACAGCGCGCCAATCTACAATCAAAATGTGAACAGCGGATCCGGCCAGCAGAACATTAAAGTCATTGGCGATTTCGAGGTTCCGTCGTCTTATACTCCTACTGCCGCACCACCCGAGTATGAGATCCCTTTCGAATCTGAGCACAATGAGAAACGAGGCAGCGGACTGCAGAAGTCTAATGTTTCGAATGGCATCAAGAACAAGACGGCTGGTGATGACAGACCTAATGGTTACAGTCAGACCTTGAGAGACCCACATGGTCGTACGCATTTGCGAACGATGGCGCCAGTTTACAATCAAAATGTGAACAGTGGAAGCGGACAGCAGAATATAAACGTCAAAGGGAGGATGGGCTTCCAAAAGAAAGGCTCCCAAGAGCCGTCTACTCAAGGTTTAGATCGCCGCGAATCTAGACCTGCTTGCCTATCTGGACAGACGTCGCCGCCTAGCTATCGGTCTCGCTCGCCTGATCGGTTCGCTCCGCATAGTCGGAGAAGCTTTGTGGCATCTAGGCCATATTCTCCGAATCGGTATCGCGACAGGCGTGAACCCGATTATGATGAAAGACGCGGCCACGTTCGTTCAAGAGACCATCGATCCCGCTCGCCTGCTCGGATCGCTCCGCGCAACCGAAATGAATCTGTAGTATCGAGGCCACACTCTCCGCGTCGTTACAACCCCACGCGCGACCGTGAATACGCTGAAAGGCACGGTTCCAGGGGCGACAACTATGGTGATAGGTATAGCTCTAGGCACGATGACGACTACGATGACGGCTACGATGATGACTATGGTTCAAGGCGTGACGACGGCCATGACGACAGGTACGGCCGCGGCCGTTCCGCATCTGATGAAGATTCATATGGTTCATACTACAGCCCACACTACAGCCCACACTACAGCTCAGACTATTCCCCGTACTAACAACCTCCGCTTTATCTGGCTCGGGGGTCTGCGATCGCCCATGGCGAGATGAGACATCGTGTAATGGATAGTAGTGATGAAGCAGGGTTGAGTACGACGTGGCGTTGTGGAACATTGGATGCGATAGAGACGGGAGGGACCGATTTGGGAGTAGATGCCGGCTTTTCGATGCTCACTCTTAGGTGAGGGCTGACTCCGGGTAGAGGAGACGCTGAAGACGTGTTTGCGGATATTGAACTTCTTATGCGTGTATTGAGCAGGTAAAGTAACCCAGGAAACCTGTTCACTTTGCTTCGAAGTACGTGTTCGCCCGAGAGCCTCTCATGGTCCTGAGATGAGAAATACAGGCAAGGTCGTAAGAGATTACTTGTGACGAAGACAACTTCTTGAGTCGGGTGAGTTTCGGTCAGGCTCTTCGTAACCATATCATACCAGCCCCAACACCCCTTTGGAGGCAAACGAATTTCTAGAAGGTGATCAAATGTCGTTGTGCGCGACCGGAGTTGCTGTTGTACAGGACAAATCCTCCGGCTGAAGAGTAAGCAGTATTAGAAAACATCCACCAATGTGTTAAGAGAGCAGTACTCGTCTCCGTCGCGCATACTGCGGCCGTTTTACTTCAACAGCATGTACATCATACTGCTTTCGTACCAGATTACCGATAAGTTGGTCAAGAACTCTCCGGCGAACCTCTTGGTATTCCCGCTTTCGCTCAAGACCGCAAGTAAGCAAAGGCGGTAGACATGGGTTATGACTAGAAAGTCAGCAGATTGGAAACGCCAGTGTAGACTTCTGGCTAAAGTCCTCGAATTATATGGTAAGGCCAAGGCTCTATGGCACTTTAGCAACGGGCCGATGCTCGGTCGATCACCAAGCGCGAAGAATCTTCGTAGTCAATGCGCCAGCTCCGAGGCTAGGCCTGGCCCCTCGCGTGTCGTACCCAGTATCAGATGTAATAAGAGTAAGCGATTGGTACAAGCTAATCAATCTGATAATCGTCCCTTTATCTGATCTGCTAACACACCCAAGCAAAGATGGGTGCTTTAGGATGTGAGAGATCCGCATTCGATGAATCGCATATTTGTCCCATTGCTAATGCCAACATGAAGGGCTGAAGACTGGTGGTACCGGTGATGCGACGAAGGCAATGGAGAGGAAACTCGTTATGAAGCTTGGTACCAGCATAGTCATCCCCACCATAACGCCTCCATGCTGACCTCCACGTGATTAGACATCTTCATCATGGTCAGTCGTCTTCAAGGATCGATGATTTATAGTATCTGAGTATGTTCACCAGGTGTATTGCTGTGCATGCTACTTCTTCAACTACCTCGGTAAATCTGACTTCAAGTTCCTAATGAGAATATCGTATGCTAATGCGAAGCAGATCGTCAAGCTTTCGCCAATGCCTACGTCGCTGGTTTGCGGGAAGATGTCAATCTGCAAGGCAATCAGTACAGCATTCTGCTGTCGATATTCACTGCCGGGTCCGTACCAATGCACTAGTCCGCCATACTGCTCCTAACTAACAACTTTTCAGCATGGTTGTTGGCCAAATTCCCCATGGGCTTATCATCCAGAAGGTCCGCCCTAGCATCTGGCTCCCTCTCACTCTCCTCCTCTGGTCCGGCCTGACTATGTGTTCGGCGGCGTGCAAAACATACAAACAGCTTTGCGCAGTACGCTTCTTCCAGGGCTTGATGGAAGCCAGTTTGTACAGCGGTACAATATATGTGTTGGGTTCATGGTAGTAAGTTAAGTGAAGCCCACCTCCCTGGAAATGAGGCTCAAGATAGTCCACAGCAAGCCTTCCGAGATCGCCAAACGAACCGCCATCTTCACAGCGGTTGGACAGGTTGGGAGCATGTTCGCAGGTATAATGATGACAGCCATGCATAAGACCATGGAAGGTAGAGGTGGCTTGAAAGGTTGGCAATGGGTATTCCTTATTGGTATGTGTGTCAATGTACCATGATCGCAGGCGTTACTGACAAACACTGCTTAGATGGCCTAATGGGAATACCAGTCGGTCTTTTCGGCTTCGTACGTTGTATTGATGGACCACATCGAGTTCCGGGTTTAACAATGATCGCAGTTCACATTCCCCGATCTTCCAGAGTCGACAAGAGTTACCTATATTAACCAGCAAGAAAGGCAGCTCGCCATTGCTCGCCTGCCACCGAAAACGGCGAATACCCACAGTATCGAGATCAAGAGCCTTGCTAAGCGTCTTCTCTTGACACCAACCATGTAAGTAGCCCTACAGTCACGCCAATTTACGGAATTGATTTTGTTCCAGATATGTCCTCACGGCCTTCTCGGTCATTTGTGCCATGACAGAAGCCTTCGCCTTCCAGGGCATGTTTCTCCTCTGGCTCAAGCATAACAAAGCTCGCTTCTCTCAGTCTGCGATCAACACTTACCCTCTTGGTATCCAGGCTGTTGCAATCGTCTCTCAGGTTGTTGCTGGAACATTCATCGACCGTACTGGCCATCGTTTGCCCATGGTCGTTTTCGCCGGAGCGATGCAACTCGTTACGGCGTCGCTTCTGCTAGTGCGAGACCTTCCAGATGCAGGAATCTTTACAGCGCACTACATCAGTGGCACGAGTTTTATCGTGAATCCTGTTCTATACGGATGGGCGACTACAATCTGCCAGAGAGCGGGTGACGATGCTGTCAGGAGTGTGACGCTGTATACGATGAATCTCGGTGGACAGATTTTGTACACGTGGTGGGGTATTGTTATGTACCCGGCAACAGATGTACCATATTGGAAGAAGGGCAGTATCACCATGATCGTGGTGGTATTCGTGTTTATCGGATTCGCGTTCGTGGTCAGATGGGTGAGTATTGTCGCTGATGAGGGAAAGAGCTTGTGCTAACGATCCGTATAGCTTGACAGGAAGACAACGGCGGCAGGAGAACGCGAAGCGAATGAGCCCGGAGAGTGCGAAGCGACGGTAGTGGTTGACGAGAAAGCGAAGGCTGGGTAACAGGCCGTGTTGAGTTATACCCCGGGTGAGACTGAGATACGACACTCAGTCAAAAGGGGCTCAGGATGGTTATGTCATCATTACACCATCGATGCATCGAGCCTCCTGTATCACTATCATACATGTCGAAAGATTGACAGATACATCCATCGAAACGAAGACCAATGTCCAGATACGTGCGATGATATCATACAAAATCTGCATATTGCGTGGGCGCAAGAGATGGAAGAAGACACATAATACCCAATTCTACTCTCTATTGCAGGAGACCTGATGCATCAGTACGGTTAAAAGGCCATCCTCATCTTCAATTTGTCTTCCTCAACAATCTCATCCTTCTTCTTCACAAGCTCCTCCATGTCCCACGTACAACTCACATACCTCCCCGCCAACCACTCCCTCCTCTCCGCCCCCAACCAAACAATTGTATCGCCCGCAACCTCGGGCCGATCCGGAAACCGATTTCTCACCTCCTCAGGCGCCGTCTCTGTGATCTTGGTCTTGATCGCACCTGGATTCACACAGATCGCCAGAAGACCTCTATCAGCGTATTCCAGTTGTAGGGTTTCTGTCCAGCGGAGGATGGCGAGTTTGGAGCTGCGGTAACTTCCGCTTCCGGGACGAGCAGTCAGCGCGCCAGAGGAGGATACATTAATTATTGTGCAGAGGCCGTTATGATTGGTTTGTGTTGATAGTTGTAAGGGGAGGAAGACGCGGGACATGTTGAAGAGGCCGCGGACGTTGACCTCATAGGATCGCCAGTATACGTCTGGATCGGTCTCAAGGAATGACACGTATGGTTCCATGTGGGCTGCGTTGTTTACGACGATGTCTAGACGCCCATCGAAAATCTTCGAAACAGTCTCGTGCATGGCCTGCACGCTGTCTAGTTTCGATATGTCGACCGTGCAACACACTACCGTAGGCTCAGCGTGTCCAGCTTGCTTTGCGACTTCCTTCAATCTGGAGGCCAACTCGTCCGACACTCCATGGAGATCAGCCACTGCGATTACTGCTGCTCCTGCGCGCGCAAACGCCGTAGCTGTGGCATACCCAACACCGTCTTCCCATGCTGCGCCGGTGACCAAGACGTGTTTGCCTGTCAGGTTCAGTTTCAAAGGCGATATGTAGTCGTAACTCGTAGAGTGGCGTGTAGCTATGAAGTCGCCACCGCCATGCTTGTATCGAGCTTCCATTGCGCGTATGTTTAGAGACGTGGGTAGTATACAATGTAGAGATGGCGAGATAGAAGAGTGTCAAAACAATGAGCTCTGATGTGCAGGCGGAGGTGGAATCGTGAGCTATAGCCTTACGCACGTATGGACTGGCCTCGAATAGCAATCGCAAGAAGAGTGGACTGCGGGGCACCAAATTGGGATCGTGCAAATAGTACAATTGATCACTAATCGGAATCCATCAAGATAAGCATGTCGACTGCAGAGACTTGCCATGTCTCAAGCGCATCAGTGAAGAGAATCCTATTGTCAGTGGAACTATTCGTATTGGGTAGGCATCACGTACCTCGTTTAATGTCAAAGCTTCGCAGACATGAGCATCGTCATACCGCCTTTTCTTCTCCATCTTGCTACTCTGTGCGTCGCCACTTCATTGCGTACACAGCCTCTTGGTCGTACGTGTACCCAGCCACCTCTTTAACTCTTGCAGGCTACGTCGTCCTTGACCAGCCTCCTCAATTAGTCACCGCTGTTTTAGGATAGCTCCCCTATCACCATGCATCGTAAGTATACGTGGAAAGAACGAATTACGGTCAGGGAGAGAGTCAGGTTATTCGGGAGGCTGGGGAAAGCAGTGGAAGAGTCGTGTGCTGGTATGCTAGACTGATGGTGCGACGGGTGGGGACGTGGAAGGGACGAGGGATAGGAGTGTAGAGGGCGATCGTGGTAAGGGTGATTGTGGTAGAGGTAAGGTAAGAATTAATTCTCTTTCGTGAGTCCGTAAGTTTGTAATTGATACGTATGCGTTACATAAAACAGCGTAAAAGGTTCGTAGTACTGCGCGATAATCATGACCCATAACTTTCGCCATGCGCCAAACGACCCAAAAGGACTCCAAAGCAGCAAGCGGCCAACGACGGGATCTTGATATGCCCATGTAATGTCGTCTAAATGGTATAAACGTGACGAGAGTAAAGCAACGCTAAATGCTGATGTGCGATGATGAAGGAAACGCCAAACGCTATGATGATGACAAGGAGATATAGCGGTAAAGGGCAACTAAACGGCAACGGTGTGAGCGCGGAACAACATCTTCAGGCCTGAAGGCTCTTTTTCCTTCTTCTTGGACTTGCTGCTTTCTTTGCCGGATTTGCTTGAGACGCTGGGAGCGACTTTGCTGGAGGGGACCTTTTCCTTGCTGGACTTTTCCTTGCTAGAATGACGTTTGCTGTCGGAGGTCTTGCTTGTCTTGACGCTGAAGTCAGACTTTGGTGCACGATGCGACTTGTGCTCCCTGTGTTTTGAGTCGCTGGTCCTCTTGGATCTGGTGCTGCGACGGGACTTGAGGTCATCTTCATCAAGAACGCCAGCTGCGACAAGGGTGCGTGATGCCTCGGGTGTGATGAACTCGCCGTCGACGCTGGTGCCGGAGCTGTTGGCCTCGACGTCTGCGATGCCACGACGCCACTTCTCCACACGACTTAGTTCCTGAGGCTCCAGCTCGTCGAGCTCGTTGTTGGAATCTTCGATGGGCAGCGGCATGGTGGCGGCACGGACAGGCAAAGGCATTTGAGGCGCGGCAGGCATTGGTTCTTCGACCGCAGGCTGTGCCTGCATCTTCTTGATGATCTTGTATCCACCGAGCGCGACGATGGTGACACCGACAGCGACACCTCCAGCGATCATGAACTGTGGGCTGAGGAGTAGAGCAGCTACGGCGGGGAAGCTGCCCTTGAGCGCCGTGAGCACACCGGGACCCATCTTGCCCACGATGGCACTGATCTCGGCGAGTGTGAGGGATACGGCGGCAAGGGCCTCGGGGTTCTTTTGCAGGTTCTCGATCATGGCGGTGGCGGTATGTTGGAGGCAGTTGGCCTCGTCTAGGAGCATCTCGATCTTGGAAGCCTTCTCTTTGAGCTCGAGGTCGTCGTACTTCTTTTCGGGCAGGGGCGGGGGCACGTCACCGTAGCAAAGGTCCATGTCGACTGACTTGGATCGCGACTTGCTTTGGGACGAACGCTGGACGGCCTGGTCGGAGTTCCTCCTCGCAGTCTCCTTGTTGTGCGCATCGTGTCCGCCGAGGTCATTTTCGAGGCGGTGTTTGCTGCTCCGCGGGCTGTCGTTGGCATAGAAGCTGTCGCTGTAGCCGCGCTCCATGGTCGGCCGGTCATGCTTGCGGTGGGTGTGGGCTTTGGAAGCCTTGGAGCGGTGCGAGACCTGGGAGCGGGCATCGTCGTCTTCGCCGGCAGCGCGGAGGGCCTTCTTGGCGACCTCCCTCTCCTTCACGACGGCATCGCGCTCAGCCTTGATTTCAGCTTTGCGCTCACGGTAGGCGGCCTTGGCCTCCTTGAAGACGTTGACAATGTGCTTGCTCTGGGGGCGGGTAGTCAGTAACGAGTACGAGGCTTATCGGGGGGCTAGCCAGCTTATCGGGTGGGCGGGCATGCGGGCGGGCAACTCACACTGCTCACTACCTTCCCACTCTTGTTAATCACAGTAATAGTCTCTCCGAGTCCGACGGCCATTCTGACGTATGCGACGTTGTGTTCCTGCAGCAGCTGCACAGCGCGCGGCAAGAGGGGTTTTGTGTGACGGGAGTAGGGGTTGCGGTGAGAATGGTACTTGTGTCCTGGGCCTAAAAGGCGGCGGTGAGCATGTATCAATGCTCGCGGAAACGGCAGCTGGCGCAACTCCACAAGGTCCCACCTGGATCATCAAAGTCGTCGCAGGTCTGGCTGGGACTATAAGGGATTTCAGAGTCAGTTCTGACCGGCGTTATTGTCGGAACACTACGCGCGGAGTGAGGCGATTTCTACCGACTGAGACACGCAGCCGTCATGGTGGTGGGACGCGGGGAGCGATCAGAGTGGCCGAAGCGACCTGCAGCAAAGCCATTCACGAGACTGCCCGCATACTTCGCCAGTAACCTCTGTGACGTCCTGCCCTGGTTCGTGGGCTGCGTCGTGAAGCCTCAACCAGTACACTCCTGGTATAGTTGAAGCGCGTGTCGCCATGTAACTGGAGGCGCTTCCATGGCGCCGGCTATGCGGGCAGCGAGACGCTGCCTCTTAGAGCACCCGGCTTTGCATGTCATTGGTGCGGATCACATTCATGCTTTATTACTGCAGCCATCGTGAACGTGTCGCTGCTGAGTGGACAACTAATTTGCTGCAGCCTCAGTTCTCACGCGTGCTGATGCAACGATGCATGCCATCTGGCAGCGGTAACCCGAGTATTGCTGCCCAAATCTCATTCTGATGTGTCTAGAATCGAGATTGTCAATCATTGTCCAGTTGGCATGATCGACCCTAGGAACAGGCTTCAGCTGGGAATGTTACCCTTACCGCGCGAGCCGTGGCTGTGTGTGCTGTGGCGAGTGCCTGTGGCGGTGCGCCTCAGCGTGGGGGAGGTGATCGAGACTCGAAAAGCCCGCCAACATCAAGCTGAAGTTGCTCAAGATGGCATCTTGGTTGGACAAACATCACGCAAAGCCGCGTCATTTTCGGTTGTCGGAGGTTTAGCAGCCTCGACTGCATCGCCTTCGGTGTGGCTATAGTCTGGGTTTCCAGCGTCATCCACGCTCCTTTTTCTCTACCCACTTTTCCCACGTTTTCCACGCGGACAGTAAGGTACGCCCTGGTGAGGGATTTCGACGACTAGTTAGGGGCAGTCGATCCAGGCAACTGTTGAGTTCTGAATTACACATCGCTGCTCGCCGATTTCCCTTTCTCCTATCCAATCCCCGGCCGCGCTTCGCAATTTTCAAGTTGGCAGCGAGAGTGTTCCAGAATGCACACCGACGATCTTGTCTCAAAGTCTTCTACCTGCATGCGATACGAGCCTTCCACTCCCGCCCCCTAATATGCAAGTTCCCGTGAGGCTGTCCTAAGTCTCCTTAGCCTAGGCGTAGAGCGATTCGACGCCATGCAGACAGCGTCATGTGAATGAGTAGCTTCAACGTCGCAAGTCGCTCTTTGTAGCGCGACCACGTCTTCGGGTCCACGAACGGTCAACTTGGACTCTTGATTCAATGCTCGCGGACTGGAGTAGCGACTGCATGATTGACAGCGCGGTGCCAAGGGTAGGATAGGTGCATACACCGACTGTGCAGTCACTGCACGCTGGTGCACACACATATGTTGGCATCCTTATGCGCTTGCTGTGACTTACTGTACTGCTGCAACAATCGAGAAAAAGAAAGCAGCTATGATAACCCCCATCTCAGCTTACTGTAAGACATACTCACCCTCAGAAATGGCGTCATTGCAGCGACATCGCTCGCCATGTAGAAGCGGTGAGCTTGTTACTATGTGCGAGCACCAAGGCTCGAGCTCGCCTGAGAGATCATGGAGCGACGACGAGACGTCCTCGAACTCTACACTGAACGATGTAGACGAGGCCGATGAACGGCTTTCTCTTTCGCACACGGTAAACCACGATCCAACTTGTCTCTCGTCTTCTGTGTTGTTTCCTTTTCATCTCATCGCAGGCTGCAGCTCAGCAGAACGAAGGACCATGTGCAACTTGTCTGGAACGCTTACATCACAGGAAGACAGGCGTGTCGTAGAAGTCAAAGGTACGTCGAGTTGGGCGATGCACCTGGCCCCGCAGCCGGCGCCATTTGGGTGACTGGACCCTGATTCTTCCGTCATCGCTCGCTCCCACACCAAATCGCGAAAGCCTCACACGCGACCATGCAGACACACCAAATACACAACGCGAGCCAGGCTGACCATGCCAACAGCAGCGCCTCCGCAGTATGATAGCATCATGGAGACGCGGGGTGCAGACAGACCTGCCCCCGATGCGAACCCAACGCCTGCGCTCTCGCATCGTATGAAGCACGACAAATCGATCCTCGCGTTGGCAGTATCGTCACAGTACATCTTCGCCGGTACTCAGGGAGGAGAGATCCTAGTACGTGTCTAAGCGAGCTCTCGAGGCTCTAGACTTATGACGTGCAGGTGTACAGCCTCGATACCTACGACCGACGCAGCGTCATACATGCGCACAAGGGCAGCGTGCTCGGCTTGTGCTTGTCGCATGACCGCAAGTGGCTGTTCTCGAGCGCAGCCGATCCAATCGTCAATGTAAGAGCGTCTGGAGCGCTGGACATGGTATGTGCTAAGTCAGCAGGTCTGGTGCACGTCGACGTTCAGACACCTATACGCTCTCTGGTCACCATATGACATTGGAGACATCTTCTGCGTCGCATACTCATCCCACCATCGCACTGTTTACCTAGGAGCCCAGAACACAAGCATACAAGTATGAGACAAGCCTGACGGAAAGGCGCATGCGCTGACAATGGCAGTGGTACGATCTGAAAGAGAAAGACACTCGACCGGCTCCGAGTCTTTCTTCACATCCTGCCGAACGGAAGAATAAGTTCTTCGACTCTCTTGGACCTGGCGGCGCGCAGACCCCAAAACCTAGCGGGGCGGACACACGGCCACGGGACGCAGTGGGCGGACAGGAACTACAAATTGACAGCCATGATATTTGCCAATTCGCCCACTATGGATACGTGCACTGCATGCTCTTGGGAACGGGGATACTACCAGAGGCGCCATCTGAAGAGGTTCTGGTTTCTGGTGGAGGAGACGGACGTATCTTGCTATGGCGGATAGACCCTGCGCAGCGTGGTGCTATAACAAGCATCTACACACTGGAAGATGGGAGAGAAGAAGGTGAATCTATACTCTCCCTCGCCCGAGAAGGTTCCTTCCTGTACAGTGGACGCTTCGACGGCGAGGTCAACGTATGGGACCTGGAGACCCGACAACTAGTGAGAAGTCTGAAAGCGACTACTGGCGACGTGCATACTTTGACGCTGGGTGCCGGTGTTCTCTACGCTGGTGGTAAAACAGGTGTCATGCAGGTGGGTGTTTGCGGCCACTTTGTCAGGGATATGACTAATATTGATAGAAATTCAACGAGCACTACGAAAGCATCACGTCCTTCAAAGCACACGACGGCTTGATTCTCGCTTCCGCTTTTACCCGCTACAATGACAAACCCACTCTCGTTACGGGCGGCAACGATAATACAGTGGTTATCTGGGAAGTCAGAGATTGTGCGGAACCCAATGCCGTCTCACGCAGAAGTAACAATGGTGTGTACACGTTCGAAACTTTGATTAGCCCAACTAATGCGTAGTGCAGATCTCATGGTGGAGTCCCTGAGCCAGTTCGTTTCTTTTCGGACCGTATCATCGCTGCCCAAATATCGCGCTGACTGCCGTAGAGGGGCGTCTTACTTGCGCTCCGTTTTCCACAATTTTGGCGCTGTGACCGAGATGATCAATACAAGCGAGTACAACCCAATTGTATTTGCCAAGTTTCGCGGTAATCCGGCTACAGCGGCCTCGCGTAAGAAGATTCTGTTTTATGGGCACTACGATGTTATCCCTGCAGAAAACGAGCACCGCAAGTGGAAACACGACCCCTTCGCGCTGACTGGAGAAGGAGGCTACTTGTATGGTCGGGGCGCTTCTGACAACAAAGGACCGATCATGGCTGCCATCTACGCGGCCCATGAGCTCGCCAATGAGCAGAGCTTGGACTCCGACATCATCTTTCTGATTGAAGGTGAGGAGGAAAGTGGCTCTCGCGGGTTCGAGAAGGCTGTGCAATCCAGGAAGGATCTCATTGGTGATGTTGATTGGATCCTGCTGGCTAACAGCTACTGGCTCGACGATCACGTACCGTGCCTGACATACGGACTTCGAGGAGTCATACACGCCACCGTGCAGATTGAAAGTAAGCATCCCGACTTGCACAGTGGTGTGGATGGAAGTGCTCTGCTGGACGAGCCCCTCAAAGATCTTGTCATGCTGCTTTCGCGATTGACTGCGCGTCATGGCAAAGTCCAAATACCAGGCTTCTATGATCCCATTCTGCCATTAACAGACGATGAGAAAGAGCTGTACACAGAGATCACCAGGACGCTACTACGCAGTAACCCAGACCTTGGCGATGCTGAAGAACTAGCACAGTCACTGATGCGGAGATGGCGAGAAGCTTCGCTCACCATTCATCGCTTCCAAACTTCTGGTCCTGATAACTCGACTATTATTCCGCGTCTTGCCAAGGCCGCACTCTCCATACGGCTGGTGCCAAATCAAGAAGCAGGCAACGTAGCAGAGAGTCTGAAGTCCTTTTTGCAATCAGAGTTCGAAGAGCTAGATTCCAAAAACCAACTCAAGGTAACAATAGATCACCAAGCTGAGCCGTGGCTTGGTGATTTCAACAACGAGATTTTCCAGACGCTTGAGCGCGCCATTATGTCAGTATGGGGTCCAACACTCGGACAGAGGCGAGAGAGTATATCTACAGTCAAGTCACCAGACTATTTCTCGCCACTGTCGCAAGCGAATGCTGAACTTCCAACGCCTGCTACTAAAGACAAACCTGCGCCTGCGACATCGAATACTCTGGCAAACTCATCAGACCCAGCTCTCTCAGGACCTGTTCTGTCGTCTGGCACTTCGACACCTGACAACGCTCGGGGCGAAGGAGTGTCT